GCGACGTGTTTTGAAATTTTGTTTTATTCTTCTTTTTTTCCTTTTCTGCATGAAATAAAATGGATTGGGGAGGAGAAAAAGGATGCCTTTAGAGTTTCCCGGTGCCGTGCCTGGGAGGAGTACAACAAGAAGCCAATTTGCCCTTGCTGTAGGGCACCCTGCGGGACCCAGGAAGAGAGAAGCCAGCTCACCCCTTCCATGAGCCAAGCAACGCACTGAGAATCAAGAAGCTGTCCTGCTCCCCACCCCATCCCACTGCCTGAGCAACCGGCTGGCTGGGAGGACTGGCTGGGTTGATAGCAACTAAGGTACAGAAACTGCTAAAGGCTTGTATTGTGTGACTGACTTCGCAGGCCTGAGGCTGGTAGTCTGAGCATCTGTTAGGAGGATGACATTTTGCAGTGTAACAAATACGGGGATCCCTTCTGTCTTGTTTTTGAAATCCAGTATTGTTCTCCCTGCTTAGTCTTGCTTAATGTTCTGTTTTGACTGGTTTTATTCTGTTTTGTTTTATTTGATTTTACGATGTCTGATGGAATGGGCAACTATTGTGAGGATAACAGAGATATGGTAACCATTGTAGATTTCCTGTTATCTTATTCTGAAGTACTGTGCTACTTTCACTGTTTGGTTTGATTTGCTTTATTCTGCTTCATTTTATTAGGCTTTATTTTCTTTAGAAGTTTAAAATTTTTTTTTAAGTTAACAAAAGGATTTCCTTGGATTTAGCAATTTTCTTTTGAGGCTACAGCCAAATGCAGACTACTTGCTGTTACATCTGGTTACAGATACAGACCTCCTCTAACTTCCATCCCAGCTCCCTTAACATTAACCTGACAGAATCACAGTCACAGATCAAAACCAAGGCACCGCTGCAGGGCCACCACCTAAACTAGAACGGGTACCCGGACTTCACCCATCCAGGACCCAGTCCAAGACCCCACGCGGCATTCAGCCAACGTGTCTCACGAGTCTCAGTGAATGTAAGAGCTAGGCAAGGCAGAGGAGGGTGTGCAGTGGGTTCAGGCCACATGGACGGTGCCTCGGTCCTGTCCCCACACCTGCCAGCCTGTCACCTCACTCTGCTTCTTCCCCACCTGCCACACACTTACCTCACCAGCCTGTCCTGCTCGTTGCTTGTTTATGGCCTGCCTCCCCGCACAGGACAAGGGCCCGGGTCCTCTTATTCTCCGCTATCCCGCGCACACGCGGCCAGTAGATACTGGGTTCGTGGAACCACAGCTGGGTTTTCTCCCTTCTGCGGCAGACGGATCTGTGCCTGCGGGCTGGAATCCCCACAGGCAGCTACCCCCCAATCTGCTCCTCACCCCAGCCCTGCAGTGCTGCCTCTGGGTCTCCCAGCCCAGCACTGAGGCCCCACTTCCCAGAGGGCTTCCCAGTGGGCTTCCCAGAGGGCTTCCAGTCCCCTTGGTCCTCTTTGAAGCTACACCCCTGGGGTCCCACTGACACCTTGTCCTCTACAGTTCCATGGCTCTGGCTCTGGCTCTGGCTCTGGAGATAGAATTTTCCAGAGCAGGGTGGGTGACCTCTCTTCCTGGCACAGCTCTGTAACAGGAGTCCAGCCATAGAGGTCTAGAATTAGTGACCACTGCTGGCCACCTATGGCTATGAAGTCCCCAAACTTGGGCAGTCGTGCTGGAAGGTTGTGTGTGCCACCATAGACTTCCACTTTTCTGAAAAAAAATGTGAAAATCTCAGTTATGGACTGAACATATTAGGTCAAATAAATATATTATGAAAATTAATTTCACTAGTTCATTTTAATTTTTTAGCAAACTTCAAATTATATATGTGCCCCCCATTTATTTACAAGAACCACTTTCCAAAGCAAATTAAAAGAACACTGAGATTCATCTTATCCCAGAAAGAATGGCCACCATTAAGCAATCAAACGAGGAAAAAGGAACCCCTCTCCACTGCTGGTTGAGGTGTAAACTAGTACAACCACTGTGGAAATCAGTGTGGTGAGTCCCCAAAACACTGCAACTAGAAATTCCATTTGACCCCTTTTTCTCCTTGTAGGTGTCTTTCCACAGGCATTAGAAACACCCCACTACAGCGACACACGCATACTCACATATATAGCAGCGTGAGCCACAGTGGCTAACATGGGAAGTGGCCCATGTGTCCATCAACAGAGGAACCAATAAGGAAAAGGGTATTGATGCACAGGAATACTACTCTGCCACAAAAAAGATAAGCATGAGCCACTTGGAGGAAAATGGATGCACGGAAACCTGATGTGCAATGAAATAAGCCAGGCATGCAAAATTAAATACCACATGCTCTGTCTTATGCAAGAAACACCAAGTATATAAGGAGCAAAATAAAAGGCAGATAAGAGAGAATAAGGAGACGGATCTTTCTCCCAGGGGAAGGTTATCAACAGATGGAAGGAGGAAGAGGGAAGGGATGAAAAAAGGAATTAAAATGTGCTATGTACATGTGCCTGCTACACACAAGGAATGGAAAATTTTAGAAGTTCTTGAAAGAACCTGTTTAATTTGCCATGGAACGGACGGGACTTGCCGCTGAGCCCAACATCTCCTTACCCCTCAGGGAGAACTCTGACTCCAGGAACGTTTCCTGCCAGAGTTCCTTTTCCTGGAGAAGACAGGGGTCCTCAGGTGACAAGGAAGGGAGCCTCAGAGCCCGCGGCTTCGTGAGGCACCCACCTGCTGAGTGAAGGTGCCCTGGGAGGTTGGCACCCACTGAGGCTCAGGAAATGACACCTTGAGGTCTTGGTAAACTGAAAGGACCGGACTGAAGAAGTGGGGGTGCCTTCTAATAAGCTTTAAAAGCTCGTTCCAGAGGTTTTAGAAGAATGCAGTTATCGAACAGAGGAAATGCAGGACCCTGATGACCTGTTCTGCTCAGCCAAGGAGGTGGCTGGGCGCCAGTTTCCTTGACAGAAAGGCCCAGGACCTGCCAGCTCTGAGCATTTTCCCCCAGCAGAGAGGAAGCGTAGTTTTTCCTGGTGCGGGAGGTGGTGGAAGAGGCAGCGTCTGCCCCTCTCCAGAGACAGAGCTTGCCGGAGAACTTTAGGGGAGTCGTTCATAAGCCCTGTGTGAGGAAGGTTATCACCCACTCTGCTTGATGGTGAGAAAATGAACATGCCTAGCCAGAGCTCGGGGAGCACGGGGCAGCCAGCACAGGCTGTGGCTCTCCTGACATCCAACCCAGTGTGCTGGCAGCTGTGCCATCTGGTATCCACCCCCAAAATGAGAGCGGATGGGCCCCGGGATGAGAGGAAGAAGAGGAGAGCGAGGGAAAGCTTGGGGGAGAGGGGTGGCGGGGCAGAGCACGGGAGCTGGGACTAGTTTGTTCATGGCTCTGGAGATAGAATTTTCCAGAGCAGGGTGGCTGACCTCTCTTCCTGGCACAGCTCTGTAACAGGAGTCCAGCCATAGAGGTCTAGAATTAGTGACCACACATGCCACTTTGTCCAGCTGGCTTTCTGCATCCCAAGGACAGTATTTCCCATTCCAGATGCTTCTCCTCCCCCTGTGAGATGGGTGGTGGGGACACAGACTCTGCAGGTCACCCACCCCCCACACCGGCACTCACCCACTAGCGTCCAACCCAAGGTGAGCAGAGGGTCCACATCGGTTAGCAACCGTGATGCCATGAACGCCCTGCTGTGTGCCCTCTCGGGTGCACATGGCTGGGAAGTTCCCTCACATCCAGCCCAGAGCAAGGCAAAGGGTCACTGGCACCCAGGGTATGTACGTCTCATGCTAAGGGCAGGAGTCACAGGCTTTACTGGTCCCTCAAGCACATCTAAGGGCTCGCTTATAGCCCTAGCTAAGAGTGTCAGGGCCACAGTCACATGGCCCAGGTCAAAAGTATGGAAGTTTTCTCCTCCATGGAGACTGAGGTGGTGGATGGGAAGAAATGTCTTGAGGACAGTCTGACCTGCTGCTGTCCCCCTGCACAGGCCTTGTGACTCTGGCCTCAGTGACTATTTGGCCAAGAAGCAGAAACACACATCATGCTGAAAGGATACTACTGGGTCTAAGTTTGATTGATAAATAATTCAGCAATGATTTACTGCATTCGCAGTTACTGTTTCCTCCATCTGAGTAACCCACAGGCCAAGCGTAACTCTGATGCTGAACACTCACATTTGATTGGATGCGATGAGACCAGAACTAAGGTCACCTCCCATTACTGGGCGGTAGGACCTGAGGGCATTGTGTAGAGACTGCCCCACAGCATGGGCACTGGGTTTTCCCCAACTAAAGTTTCCTCCCTGCACAAATTGTTAATGACAGGTTTTCTTCTTTTATCTCTGTGCACTTTTCTGTGAGCTTCACAGGTTTTAGAGCTTGAAACCCTTACGAACAGGGTTGTGTGAAGGTTTCCTGCCCACAGGGCAAATGAATTGTGTGTATTTTAAAGAAAATAAGTGAGTTTGTGAAGCAAGTGGCCATAAATACTCAGACATCGGTTGTGTACCATGCACTGTGGTGGGAAGAGAACAAAGAGGCTTGAGAGGGAGCCCAACCCTCCTGTTGCTCATACTCTAACCGGACAATTGTGATCCTCGTGTCTATAGCCACAGACTGTTTTGCTGAAAGCATCACCTTAAAATCCGCATTCGAAGCTGTGAAATAGCACACTTTTGAATATATTTCTCCAACCTGACCTTTGTAGCTTGCTCTCAGAAGTGAATTCAAAATGTCAGGGTTCAAAATGACAGCTTTTAAATCTCTAAGCAACAGTTCTCAGACTTCTCTGGCATTGCCTTGTTTTGTAAAGGGTATTTTTCTTTTATCAGTTTTTGAGCAGACTAATTTTCTTTGATGGAAGGAAAGTGGAAGCACGTGATGGTTCATTGTCATCTTGCTTTCATGTAGCATCACACATTTCCACTGCGTCTGACACTCTCACATTAACAAATCTTTGGGCATATCATTTTGGAGTTAAGACAATAATTTGCCTACAAATTTGACAAAAGAAATTTGGTAATGCTGGCGATCCATCATACAGATGTAATTTATGACTGCTGTGATCATTTTCATAAGATGATTCAGTTGTACCCCATGTAGCTTGTCACTGGGTTCTTCCCCTCAGCCAGCTGCAAAAGAGAAAACAGTGTCGTTAGGTTAGTAAACAGCTAAGTTTCCTTTGCACAGCTTTGATTATACTAGTGAATTGTGGGAACATCAGTCTCTAACCCTGTAATCATTTATTTATTCAACAAATTCCTGTTAAGTCCCTGCACTTTGCAAGACACTGCTAGACATCAGATGGGAGGGGGTGTGAGAGAGGAGGGTCCTCACCAGCTCAGAGCCTGAAGTCGCCAGGAGGCTGAAACAAATGGCAGAGGTGGGCACTGGAAGGCTCAGCATGCACCACCTGCCTGGGTCACCCATCTCTCACCCATGCACGGGGATAGGCCTTGGTATAGACAAATCATCTGCACTGTTAACGAGCCAGAAACCTGGGCATTTGGTACAATCTGATGTGAAAACCTGTGTTGGTCCCCCGGGCTGCAAGTTGGGATCCTTCACTCGACAGCAGTCTGCCTTCGGGAAGCCTGCTGTCCAGCAGAGGGACAACGGTGGGCATAGTGACACGGAGCACAGAAAGACTGGCGGTGTGACATTCACAGCCCCAACGCAGAGGAGCAAAGAGGGAGGCCCCCAGACCTCAGCACAAGTCTCCCTCGACACATGGCCAGGCCCGAGACCCCTCTTTTGTTTAAATAGCCCACCCAGGAATCATATGAAAATGTATCTTGTTCCCCTGATAAATACAATATTCTGCTGTCAGAAATATTTTTCACTTTCAAAAAAATTTTATTTTGATTTTGTGTTTTTTGGATTTTGAGTTGATTATTTCTATCTCTCCCATCTTGGATCTCCATCATTACAGGCTGTTGAAAACCCTTCGAGGCCTGATGGGCACAGTTGTGGAGTCGGAGATGGTGCCACCTACCTTGACAGATGAGGACATTTTCCCCAGAAGTGGGGGAGCTGAAGTGTGTCCAGAAAGAATAGACAGTGCAAAAAGGTCCCAGAACAGTCTGGAAATGACAAAGCATTTAGCCCTTATGGTAAGTAAGTGAGAAACAGGTCTGGACAGATAGGTAGGAAATACATTTGGGGGCTTAATGTGAATTTTAGAGTTTATTCTTCTGACTTTGAGCACTAGGGTTTCTGAGGGAAGCTTAGCCTGTCTAGAAACCTGGGTGGAACTGGTCTGGGAAAACTTCAGGGATGTGAATCAAATATTTGGTTTCGAAGACTAAGTCTCGAAGCAGAGATTGGTATAAGCCCACATGTGATCCACACAGACTCTGCCCCCACTGGCTGTTTCCCAGTCCTGTTGCTTCTTAAGCTCCTCACTCCTCTCTGGACCTCTGAGCGCCCAGCTCCAGCTGATAAAGTCCTGGGTCTCAGCTCACTCTGCCTGGCCTTCTTGGTCCACCTTTCATTCACTGTTAAACTTGCTTTCCCCAAATACCTTTCTACCTGTGTCACACACACACAGCTTCTCTTCCTACCACAGACAACAATTATCTTATAGAATCCTAAAGCAGAACCACATGAGGTGTGCCACCCTTTATTTCTCTTAGGTTTACACCAAGGAAATGGCTAAATGGGGGGCAGTGACTTGACAACATACCAAAATCAGAACTGGAGTTAGGAAAGAAATCCATGTGGTCTGGTTCAAGTAATTCTGCTTCTCTACACCAGGTCCCTTCCTGTGGGTGTCACCTGAAGATTAAGTGGACAGCTATGCAAAGGTTCCAGCATTCAGACACTAAAAAGGAGACATGACTGTCCTCTGATTTAGGATACACGGGACTTCTGGGGAGGTGGTGGCGTAAGGAGTAGCAGAGAAAGCCTCCGAGATTTGGAATACAGCCCTGGAATACAGCAACATGAGGAAAAGAAGAAGGATGGCAGTGGGTCCCAGAACCAGGAAGGATCTGACGTGAGAACTGAAGCCCACAGAAAGAGCAAAGAGCCACGCAGCACTTTCTCCCTGAGCCCAGATGCACTATACGGGAGGGGAGGCTTGGAACTGCAGGCACTCTGTGACTGCTAGTGACTCCAGAGGCCTCCATGCAGAAGCATATGGTGAAGTGGACTGGCGGACACAGTGGACTGCAGTGGGCAGAGAGCTCCCCTTTAGAAATCCTACAGGAGAGAGCAATGGGCTAGGGACCATCTTGAAAAGAGGCCAACTGAGTTTGGGACTCAGAGTGACAGCTGGCACTACCTAGTGACTCCCAGCTGAATTCAGGCCCACAATGGGCCGGGCTCTGGTTCTGGCCTCACAGCCCAGGCCAGCCCGAACTCCACTGGAATAGGAGTGCAGGCTTGTTGGGGTCCTCCTCAGCCCCACTGCGGGGCTGCTTCTGGGGCCCTGGATTGGCTGATAGGGGTCTGCACCCTGTCTGCTCCCACTGTCTGCTAGCGGCAGCAGAGACACACCTTGAAATGGACCTTTTTTCTTTTCTTTTCTTATTCTTTACTTCATTATCTTTCTCTCTCATTTCTTTTGCTTTTCTTCATTGTTCTTGCTTTTCTATGAGTGTGAATATGGTTTCTAGATTTTTGCTGTTGTTGTTCTGTTCTTTTTATTTCTTCCTTCTCTCTTCCCCTCTTGTCTTCTATACTGATTTCCCAGTTTGCCTCAGTTTGTCGTTTCCTAAGCTGGTTGATATTGATGCTATCATGATTACTGATGGTGTCATCTTAACCAAGTGATGTAATTGTTCTAACCAGTTGTTCTTCCTGGTTTACCAACTGAGATTGCCTAAGGGTCATGAACAATGCTATAGGCTAGTGCCAAAGAACCAGGCCAAGCAGGTAGCAACTTCTCAGACCCAACAAATTGAAGAGGTAGGATTTTGCAGCAGATCCATTATCCAACATGTAAATCTGAGGTGTAGTCATTTCTTACAGGTTTTAAATACTAGCAGTGAAGCTACTCATCCAAGCATCAACCCAGGAACTAAACTTAAAAAAAAAAACATGAAATGAGAAGACATTTAAACAAGATGCAGTTCCAGCAGTCCAGCTCAAGAAAATCAAAGCTAGGGGAAAATGAGGTGGGATAGTTTGAAAAGACAGAGCTTAGAAAAATGATGGATATTATGATGCCCAACATAGGAAAGAAATAGAATTCATAAAACAGATTTAAACAGATATCTAAGACATTAAAAATCCCATTGAAGTACATGCAGCAGAACGAGCCAGTGTGAGAACAGAAGCTCAGATATACAAAAAAGATTTCTTAAAAATAGCCAGGGACCATGAGAAATCAACTCAGCCATGCTAGATGATGGAAAGAAGAATATCAGAAGATTGACTGCAATCAAAGAAAAAAGCAGGAGATAGCACAAGTGATATAAAAAATCTATTAACAGAAGTCATGGCAGCAAAGTTCCCTGTCAGGAAAAAAAGAATTTGACATACAGATCAGTGAGACATATAAAACTCCAATTAGCCATAATCAGCAAAAATCTACTGCAAGGCATATAATCGTCAAGATTCCAGAAATTCAGCACAAGAACAGAATATTAAAAACTGTGACAGAAAAAGAAAAAATCCCCTATATAGGAAAGCCCATTAGAACCATGTCAAACTCCTCAAATCAAACCCTTAATTCAAGGAGCCCTAAAAGAAAACAACCTGCAATCCAGATTGATGCACCCTGCAGACCATCTTTCAAAACTGATGGAGAGGGGCTGGGGATTTAGCTCAGCGACATAAGTGCCTGCCTTGCAAGCAGGCAGTCGTGAGTTCGATCCTCGGTACCGACAAAAAGGAAAAAAGACAAAAAAAAAATTGAAAAAAACAAAATTGATGGAAAAATAATATACCTCCACAACAAAGAATACTTAAGAAAATTCATGAGCACTCCAAAATGTCCTGAAGGGCATTCTAAAATGAGACAGCTAGAATCAAATCCCCATGAACCCCAAAAGAATGAATCCACCAGACAGAGCAAACAATTAAAAAGAGGGGGTAAAAGGAGCCAACAACAGGAAAATAACATGCAAGAATAAATCAATACATGTAAATTATAACATCAATGTCAATGCTCTTGAGTCACCAATTAAGAGAAACAGACTGGCAGAACAAATCAAGAAGCAAGACTCAACAACATGCTGCATAAAGGAAACCCATTTAACTCAAAAAAGAAACTCATAAACTTAAAGTCAAAGGGTAGAAAACAACACTGCATGGGTACCCAGAGTCTGCTTCTCCCCAAAGAAAGCAGAGGAAGCTATTCTATTTTCAGACAATGTGAATTCCAGCTAAGACTGATTTAGAGACAAAGAAGGTCACTATATCCTTGTAAAGGGAACAATACAAGAGGAAGAAATAAAGATCATAAATATATACGCACCAAATACCAGTACATCAAACTATATAAGATAAATGTTAATATGCATAAAAAATCAAATAAGCACTAATACAATTATAATGGGGGCCTCAAAACCTCACTGTCATAAATGGATCGACTAGACAAAGATCAGCAGTGAAATATTAGGACTGAACAAACTTTTGAACAAACAGACTTGTCTGTCTACAGAGTGTACCCCACATCATCAGAATACACATTCTTCTCAGCTGCAGGTACGGTATTCCCCAAAAGAGACCGCATACAGCTCACAGAACATACTTAAGTAAATTCAAAGGAACTGAAGTTACTCTCTGCATATTATCAGACAATAATGCAATGAAATTGAAAATCAAATGGCAAAAGAAACCACAAGAACTTCATAAAAATATAGAAATTAGGTAACATCTTAACAACCAGTGTGTCACAGATGAAACTAAAGAAGAAACTAGACAGTTTCTAAAATTAAATGATAATGTCAGTACAATGTATCAGTACTTATGGGACACAATGAAAGCATCCCTATGAGGGAAGTTTATAGTGGAGAATATGCATATCAAGAAAAGAAAGCGAGCTTGAATAAACAATTTAATGTTAAACCTCAAGCTTCTAGAGAAAAAAATAGAAAGTCGAGCTCAAAGCTCGACAGAGGGAGGAGAATATTAAGATTAGAGCAGAAGCCAATGCAATGGAGAGTAAGAAAACAATGCAAAG